AAGTCCAGTAATTAAAGTTAAAGATTTTACGTAAAGTATTTACAATAGTAAGGTTTTTTTTAAATAAACAATTAATATTAGTACCTTATCAGAGGAAAATGTTCTGACTTAACTCTAATCCTAAACCACTTCTTTATATTCTATAACTCATAGATGTACCCTTCATTAAAACCCAGCCTCCTCCTCCCATAATCGAACCCATATGCGACCTAAGCCGACTTAAGCGGCTGCTCAGAGCCCCATGAAAGGTCAAGAGGTGCCCCCGAAAGCCCCTAAATAAGAGCCAGCAAATGCCTGACTAAGTCACCATCATCGTCTCGGGCCGAAGCTCTAATTTATGTCTTTATGGCACATTACATTCAAGACAATTCACTTGCTTTACAACCTGTTGGAGTAAGTCTTTTACGGCCCCATCAGCAGGAGATCAAAGTCAGGCCATGGTAATGACCCAGTTGACTCTGGGCTGGCAAACCTTTTAGCCGGGGCTGCGACGATTTCATAGCGACATGCATAATTAAAAAGCCGTTACAGGATGTTCACGGCCAAGGGGTTTATGACTAAATGGCCATGCTAAAGTTATGGGGCTCGCTCTTAATTGGGCTAAAAACGTTGACAAACATCAGACAAAAAAAAAATGAAAAAAAAATTCGCCACTTTACGTGCAGAGTTTTTGGGCCACGTTCATGTTCAATGCCATCGAGTTGACCTTTCAATTAGCCAGTGGGCAAGCGGCAAGACCGAAGATTCTGATTGAGAGAACCAGAAAGCCTTGCCCAAACCCAGTCCGAGTTTTAAGACGGAGCCCAAGCTCAGGCTCAAGGCGGTCAGGTGCATTTATCGCAATTAAACACTTGTTGCTGCCAAAGCAAAAGCAAAAGCTGCAATGCCTGCCACCGCAAAAAAACAAACGCCACATCTAACAAGAAGCGAGGCAAGATTAATACGTGTATTACGGCCGGGCCACGATTCGACAATTCCAACAACGAGTTAGCAGCAGTGGCTATATAGCTATATAGCAATAGTGATTTGCTTAGAATGCGACAACCGCCGGGGCCCCAAATAAAAGCCAAAGTGCTGACCTTGTCAGTGGCTACTAAACTACTACCAATATATACCAGTACCACTTCTACTACCACTACCAATGTTGCAATCGATTGCACTGCTGAATCTCGAGTGGTTTTCCTTGTGTTTGATTTTTCAATTTTTGCAGCACAAAGCGAGCAACCCATACACTACACACAATCGAGGAACGATGTCGAATTCGTTGGGAGAGCAAAGCCTAAAATTGACTGAAAAACGAGCGAAATTCAGTTGGTCAAAAAGTCATTGAGTCATTTCCATTTTCTACATGCTAAATTTATTTCTCACCAGTCTTTAATTTAAGAGGATTTTGCTGTGCATTGATTCTCAGCTTCAAATGGTTAGCTTTATAGTATATATATATTATAAGTTTAACCAATAAATAAATAACCAAAGGCGATAGAAACAAAAGCAGAACTATTTAAAAAGTAATAAACATTATCTTCCAATCGGTTTAAATATTTTTAAACCCATTAAAATTCCCCTGTTTCGGTTAACCTCTTATCAATGGTTGATTTATAGTTAAAGAACATTTAATTTAAATCAACTGCCTGTCAGTCAGAAACCGCTGGAATTTCAAAATTATATATTACACCGCTCATTAAATAATTAATAAGTGTAATATGAAATACATCAGCCCCACGTATGCTCTAAATATAATAACACAAATTAAATGAACAAGCTGAATTTAATATGACTATATTTTAATGAATGAGTGGCAGTGCAACAGTGCGTTCTACATTCTGAATTTCGTTCGAGTGATTTCGATGTTTGCTTTTAGAAATGTAAGCTGAAATTATAAAAGTTCTGAAAAGCTATTATTTACTTGAAATTACACAGTAATTGATTGTTCAATATTTTGGTAAAAAGAATAAGAAGGTAGGTATTTAATTGTTATAATATAATATTTCAGATTTCCTAGAAGACATTTGAGAACTTAATTAAACACATTTCAAAATATTATCGATTGGAATTATGGCCATTTAAGTTACAAATTCTGATACAATGAAAACACCAATCCAGCATTGCTTGGCCACTAAACACTTTAAATGAAGATGTTCCCAATTGCATTCATGGTCAGGCGGCCGTTGAGTTATTTATGCATATTTTACACGCTCGGCAAATGCTAAGCGAAGAGCGTCTTTGGGCGCCTCGAAGTTCGAATGTTGGGGCTTGGCTTTTGGATTGGTTTTGGCTTGGTTTCGGCTTGCTTGGCCTGGCCTGGCTGCTAATTCGCAGCAGAAGCAGAAGCAGAAGCAATATTCGCACATTTATCGATTGCAAATCAATTTCGTGCAATTGCACATCTCACGTAATGCCAGCCCCTCTTGGCCAGGTCGAGACCCAGTGGCTCTGGGCTCTGCTATGGCTGGCTGCAATGCATCGCTGCCGGATTACCCCCCGATTAATGCTGCTTGCATACAAATTGGCGCATTTACGTTCGCCTTCACCTGCTGGCCAGGCCGGCATAAGGGGGTTTCTATATCCACAAGATACGGGTAACAGATACAGATACAGATACAGATACAGACACGCGCCTGCACTCGTTAGCCAGAAGTCTGAAGTCTGGGGGCATTTGCTTTTCCTTTTTGGCATTCGCAAGGCAGCTCGCCAAATTGCATAAACAACAAACGAAAAGTGCGCAAAGTGCGAAATATAAATTACCCCTCGATATATGAATGCAAATTTAGGTTTAAGGGTTCTCAACTGTCGCCAAGTGTCTTCCGGTGCAATCCTAATCAGTATGACTGGCCCAGTGCCAGTCACTCGGCAAATCCCATTCCCAGTTATCCCATCCTCTAGCCGGAGAAATGGAGAAATGGCGAAAAACGAAGCGAGGTGACAACATAAGCAGACTTTTCGCGGGATTTGTCAAATATTTGCGCTACGCTACGTTCATCCAAAAAAAAGTTCAAGCGGGTTGGGGGTTCCAAAACTGCAGCTTTGGATCCCAAAAACCCTAGACCCCACTCCCCCAAAAAAAAATAATAAAAAAGAGAACCCCCCCCTTTTTTGTGTGCGCTTTCACGCCTCTCGTAAGGCGGGCAAACTTTTATTATTATTTCATTTTTTTGCGACCCGCCTCGCAAGTTCAAAAAGTTTAATGCTATTTGACTTTGATTCAATGTTTGCATTGTGCCCGGGCACATCATCGATTATTTTCCACTTGACGCCCCTCTGGGATCCGGAGAGCCATGGCACCGAAACACCCACCCACCCACGGATCCCAGTTGTTTGTGGTGGACAAATGAAATATGTTTGGCCGAATCAAAAAGCCCTGGCACTGACAATGCCCCGGCTACGAGTATTTTGATAAATTGCGAATTAATTGAATCGCTATGACATGAAGTTTAGCACTATTTTTTTTGTGCTATAATTAAAGAGTTGCTTGTCAGTCAGTTGGCTGGGTTTTTCCTGCACCTACATACATTTTTAGAAACTTTAATTGAGACAACATCCTCGAGAGTTGTTAATTGTTAAATACAAATCGATTTATTTTTAAATTCTTTAGCACTTAAGCATGTGGGAAATACGATTTTTCATTTAAATTTGGCCAAACGAAGTATTTATTCACATAAAGCTCTTTAATCCTTTAAGAATTTCAATTTCAGCCTTTTAAATTTCAGGAATTTTAGCAGAAATAGCATTGTATTATCTGCCTTTTAGATCAGGATTTAAAATTATTTATTAAAATTCATACGCCACTTAAGCCGAAGTTAGCTTACATTTTCAACATATTTAATTCATCGCTTTTTCATTGCGTGCATATTAAACCAATTTAAGTTTTGACAATAAAATAGAGTTTAAAAGCTCCTGGGCAATTTACTGAAAGCTCTTTAAAACCTTCTAAATATTTAATCTAAGCCATTTGAATACGTTCTATTTAATATTTAAATTTAAACAGCATGCACTATTCATAATCAAGTAAATAAAAAAAAGAAAGACGCAAAATGGTAAGCAATAAATATAAATTTTACATGAACACTATATCTTAGTGAACAAACAAGCTACATTTTAATGAGATTTTACTTTCACTGCCATTTGAATTATTAGCACAGTAACTCGTGGAATTGTAAATGTCATTGATGTTATTATTTCAGTTAAATTAGTGACCTGCTAAATGGCAATTTAAATATTGATCGAACAAGTCTTGATCCAGTAACAAATGTTTTTCCCAATCTAATCAATTATTTTTTTTGGGTTTGGCCATCCTACATATGCAAACCCGTTTGAATTTCACAAAGACCACGAGGGTAATATAATAATCCAACTGGTGATTATCGATTCTTTGGCAGCCGTAACTCTCATTGCAATGGCAAAACAATGAATTATTTCCCAATTGCTGGCTGGTGATTTTGTTTGTGTATAAAATTTGGGAAATTCAATGAAATTTCACACATATTTTTTTCGTGAATGCCTGTGTGTTGGCTATGAGCTCTTTGTCGGCCCCTCCTGGAACGTGGACGTGGGGACCTGCGGAGCGAATCCAACTCGTTTTTGGGTATTTTTTAGAAAGCCACTACGTAATGGCATTTGTCATACGATTACCAGAGCACATTGTCTATAAGCCCAATGTAATTCAAGACTCACCAATTTGCTGGCTCCACAAATGTATGTATAGAGATCCCACGCCCACAGATTGTGGATTTCGACAAATTGTTGGCTAATTACGGGGCTCGATAATCTGCCACACGAATCTTCCTCTTTTTTTTGGCACAGGGATATATCTCGATTTTTTTCTGGGTTTTTGTATTTTTAAGTGGTCACTTTCGAAATATAGATATTTGAAGCGCTTTTGAAAGCGGCACGCAGTGTTGCACAAGTGGTATCGAAAACAGCGATTCCAAAATGGTTGCAACAGGTTGGTTAAAAAACTGGCGAGCTCGCCACGATCCGAACGGAATCGATACGAAAACCGAATGGAGTCCCGAGTTGGAAAATGGGATCTTTCGAGACGAAAACAAGACGAGCGTTACGCGTTCCAGAACCGCGCTGCCAGGCAGACGAAAACAGACTCAGCTCGAATGCGGCTTGCAAAAACCACAACACCTGACGTCGGCGGCTCAGCGGCTCAGTGGCTCAGTGGTTCGGCGGTTCGGCGGCTCAGCGTCGACTGCGACTGCGACGGCAGCGGCGACTGCAGCGTTTTGTGGGCGGTAAGCCGAGCTCAGCGGCAGCTCCAAAAATAAATAAAAAAAACAGTCAAATTGAGTGGCGCAGTTTGGACTGGCGATCGAAGTGTGTAACTAACCGCACCTGAGCATCGGTTTTAGACAGTGCTAACGTTATGATCCAATTTTATGGAGACTCGTAAAGAGGTCTACATCGGCTCTACTTAAAAGCTGATCGCTGATGGGTTGAAATAGCCCGTCCAATATAATAGATCGTTATAGATCACCATACAGTCTAATAAATTGAAAACTTTATGACTTCAAATGTTTAAACTTTCAAAACATTGTTATTAAAAGTTTGGATGAAACTCCAAAACAGAATTAAATTACCTTGATTACCCAAGATTTTTTTATAATACTTTGTAGGCCATATAAAAATATACGGACCATGGTTAATAAATTTCAATATTTTTGAGATGAATTATAAATATAACTCATACGCAGTGTTTTCGACAACAAGTTTAATGAACATGCGTAATAAAATATTTTAAGTTGTAACATCTTAATCGGTTACTTAAATTTTTTTAATTAACGATTTAGGTGCTTTTTACGAGCTATACCTAAATAGACGAAAACATTTTAATAGTTCTAAGCTGATTTTAAGATATCACTCATACGCAGGGTCTTTATAACATTAGTGTGACTGACAAGTTATTTACCCTTTTTGTAGCTATTGTAAAAAATATAATATAAATATTTTTAAATATATAATTTGAATAATAAATAAGGTACTAAAATTATTTAAAAGGTTTATTTTTGAACTTTTAGGACTCTCTCCTTATATGTCATAATCAAATTCAATTGCAATTAAGTTTAAACAGTTATCGTAGTAAATTCCTTTGCTAATTAAGTGATGAAGGCATGCGATTATTTCACTGACCCTAAGATGTGAATGGAAAATAAAGTAATTATTTACTGAGATCTTGGGAACCTAGCAAGCTAATTAGAGACACTTCGCTAACCTGGACCCCTTCTTTATAGTTTGATCCGGCTGACAGGGCTGAACCCACACGGACCTCTGGCTGACTCATCCGCCAGTGCAATCCACATCCGTTCAATCCCAATCCCAATCCCAATTCCAATCCCAATCGAAATCCCAGCCCACTTGATATTCCTGCTCCGTTCGCCCGGAGACGTCGTTCGACGTAGTTCGCTCATAAATTTTGCATTTGCTGTGTGATTTTCCTTTTTAGACGCGACAAGATTTCACTGATTTCGCATATATCCCGGCATTTATAATATATTCGCGAGAGCATTCTATACCCGAGTTCAGTACTTTTTAGCTGCTCTGTGGTAATCGCAGGTCCGCCATCAATCACGTAATTCCCAGCATGTTTTGTCGCCGATCCCATCTGTATCTTGACGCAGTATCTTCTCACACCAAAATTAAAAACATATCCAAAAACAAAGCCAGACGCCGAGTCTATAAACTCGAATATCTCTCGCAAAAATGCTGTAGCGAGTCGCAACAAAAGGCCCATTAATGACAAATGCAAAATAAGAAAATAATAATAAAGCAATATTTGCGAACCAGTCATTGCATATTAATGGTGCCCTCATCAAAATCAAAAGCCACTCAAGTGCTCACTTTGCCGGTATGATCCGATCTTGTTCAGATCTGTTCAAACACTTGACAATGACATGATTCGCTTGATGTTTAATTACTTCATTTCGGCAGCACAATGGCTTGCAGATCGTATAATGCCTTTATTTTCGTGGTATAATTCCATTACTTATGGAGATTTTTAAATATATCGCTTACTTTTATTATATAAAAAAGTTTAACTTGTAGGCGGTTAGTTTGCAACGAACAAATAGGGTTTCATTTACACAAATAACTGAGTGTGGAAACGTGTCAAGTTTCTGAGCAGGGGTCAAAAAGTTTACTTGAGATAATACTTTAAAATAATATTGCCGACAAGAAGTGTGAAATCTAACTTTCACACCTAGTTTCAGACTTTAGATCCCATTTAACGAAAAGTCGTACTAGTTTGGCAAGTTATCTCAATTAATAGGAAATGTATATGATCATAATTTCAAAAATATATATACAAAAGTGTCTGCTCATTTAAATATTTCTTTAATTCCAATTATTTCCTGGTATATTTCTATGGCTAGCAACTATATTCGAGTTCATTTTTTGGCGATCAAGCTTATTATCATTATTCTTCCTATAAATTAGCTCGCTTTTATCCCATCCTATTTAACTAAAAGTAGTACTAGTTCAACAAGTTCCCATCTCATTTAACAGGAAATGTCTAAGAACATTGTGGTTTCATAGCATTATTAATATGTTTTAAATGCATTTTAAAAATTTCAATTATTCACTAGTATATTTCAACAGTAGATGACTATTTCCGAGTTTAATTTGAATTCTTTTAAGCTTCTGATACAACGATTATACTTGCTATAAATTAGTGGGTTCTTTTGTGCTCTTTATGTTCACACGCGAAATTTATGGGTCGTCAAGCAGCTTGCATTGCCAAACCGTAATCGTATCGCCATAATCATGTGGCCTGGCCAAACAGTCACAGTGAAAAGCGAACTGCAATAAACGCAACCGGATTTTGAGAACCGTATAAAATGAAGCAGTAAAAAAAATAAGACCGAAAGCTGACCTTGGCTCTTTTAGCCCACCGCCGCTTAAGAATCCGGATCGAAATCTCGAATCCATCTAAATGGTTGCACCCCCAAAACTGGCCAGCTCCATCATCGCGATAATAGCCTAAGCAAATTGCCAAGTCATTCGGGTTTTTGCCATGCTATATTCTGGCAAATCAACAAGCAAATAGCGCCGAGCAAACAAAATCGGAAAAAATAGAAATAGACAACAGCAGCTAAAAGAAACCGAAATCGAAATCAAAGTCAAAGTCTAGGAGCTGCAAATCCGAAAGGTAATTGCCAGGGCTAATTCGGAATACGGAGTATGGAAAATCGTCGCGTCACCGCATAATTATTCGAGGAGTCTCCATGATGAGAGGGCATAGTGTCTGGTAATTTGCCGTTTCTGCGGTGATTTACTATTGACTCTTGGTGTCGGGCTCCTTGATTTATTTTATGACTCAACGCAACGCAGCGTACGCCGCCGCCTCCAATATGTTCTTATAGCATGAAAATATAAGACATGATAGCCGATGCATCGTATACACTTCCTAACTAATTTATAAAAAATGATATAGGAATATCAAATACTAAATATAATGTTGCATTAAATAATATAGTAATAAGTACAAATATTTTCCCTTCTTATTTTACCAATTAACAAATATAAGAAAGGTATCTAAAGAACTAAATTTAGAAATGATGTTATGATAAATATTGATTTATACAGTCTTATCTCAGTACTGAACTGAGAGCATGTTACTTACTTACTTTCTAATTGTAAAGTAAACAAACGATTGTATCTCAATGTTGTCGTGAAAGAGTTAATTTTAGAAGATATTTCTTGGGAAAACTAAAAATGGGAATTCCCGCAGAGCTAATATGGTTTATTGCTTTGACAATGCTTTATCGTACGATTTCGCAATTCTATGCAAAAATAAAATACCCCATTGAGGGTATAAAAATATCAGTCACGGTAGAACGCAAAATTACCAACACATTGGCTGCTGGAAGACACACATGGACACGGATGAACGGAATCCATTGAAATTCAGAGCGGGTTCAAAGACGCTCGGCCACGGCAACAAATCGTGCAAACAACAACTCGCCGAATTGCATGGGGCAACATCTTCATTCGGGGGGTTTTATGGGGGATATCTGGGATCCGGGGAGTGGAGTTCAGGGGTTCAGGGAGCCGAAGGCAGTCGCCAAAGCGATTCAGCTAAATGCATTCGAGTGCTTTATTGATTGGGTTTCGTGTGCCTCGCAGCGAGTGCAAAAAGTATGAAAAATCTATTAATTCTACCCGGGAATAAGCAAATGCATCTCAAGTGGTTTGATTTCGTGGGATCGGGGGATTGGGGGTATTTTGGGGTACCGGCCAAGTGGCTGACGTCGACACGGACACGGCATTTGGGCCTGTTGACAGGTGTTGACTGAAACTACGAGTCGGCAGTCAGGCCATTAATGAAAACAGGTACCAGTTGTAAACAATAGACGAAGTCGAGTTTTCCGACTACCAGATACCCGTTGGTCATTCATTCCTTTCGTTAAAAATAACAATTGTCATTTGAAATGAAAATTAGATACGGTGCACTCCTTGCCGTTTAAATATAATTTAATTTGAGATGGAAATCAGTCACATTACTGACGTCAATTCGTTTGCATAGCTGACATTGATTTACCACTCGGCAATTGACTTTTAAATATTATTTTAGGTATTATACTATTCCATGAATACTTTATATAGCTGCTAAGACCAAAAAAAAGATCAACGACAAAATAATACAATAATTAATAAAGAAACCATACATTTAAATTAACTTATTATTTTTATATAACAAAACAAATAGATCTAAATTATAATTGTTTTATAAATATATATTTTATGTACAAATATCAGGGCTATCAATTTTCTATATTTTTTAATTATATGGTATAAATAACATAGAAGAACATAGAATATACCCCAAGAACAACTGAAAAATAGTAAACAATATACTTGATGTGCGAAAAGAGAGAGTGGAATTTAGAATTTTCCTATGGCAGGCCCGAAACTTGAGGTTTACTTGACTTCCGACTTTGACTGCAAAGTTGAGTGTCAGTTGATTGTTTACCAAATCTAATAATGTTTGACTTTCATCAATTGGCAAAAAAGTGAGAACGAAACACGCAGGCAATTAGCTTCGGAACCAAATATCCATATAATATATTTTAAGAGTAAATGAGGAAGCGGTAGTTCAAGTGAGGAGGCTTCAACTGACCGGCAGTTAAAGTCAAGTTAACGAACTGTGACCAAATCGAAGAGGCTCTTTAAAAAATAATTACACATTGAATGACCCAAAGGTCAGTTACAGATACTCAGTCAAGGCTGTCAGTTTATTGTGTGGGACTTGCTTTATGAATAGTTTATAAAACGAGGGATTTTTGTAGCATTTTTCAAAGTCAAATTTAAAGCGCATTTAAATTCGAAATGGCAAACAAACATTGTAAAGTGCCAAAGCTATAAGGTAGTCAATTAACGAGGCAGAAATTGATTGATTACCCGCTAATCTCTAAACGTAGAAATAATTATGTTATAATTATTTGCACGGGTAACTAATTTACTGACGTTGCCAAAAACGGAGAGATTTTTCAATATATTCGCCAATTTTCTATTAGCATCCAAGACATGAAGGAAGTGCTGGGTTTTTGGTTGCTAGTTCTGTTATTTCAGCCCTATCAAAGCGTAACAACTTTATCTAAAAACTTAATTTTTGTATTAATATATCATATCTATTTAGAATGCTGTTATTTTCAAAATGACCAATGCAGTTTGCGAGTCCTACAACAAATCCTGGATCGAATTCGGGGTTTGTCGACTGAGAGCCGTGAGCCGGAATAAAGTCTGCCTTAATGTCGATGCCAATTTGCTTCAGCCGGTTCACGATGTTACAGTCAAGGCCCAATTGATGAAAAAGGCCAATGGATATAAGCCGTGGCTCTACAGTGTCAATTTCGATGGCTGCCAGTTTATAAGGCGGAGAAATAATGCCCTAATTCGCCTCGTTTGGGACCTTTTCAAGGAGTACTCAACCATCAATCACTCCTGTCCCTATGTGGTAAGTCCAAAATAATTAAGTCAAAAAAAATATTAAATAAATTCCGTCTTAGGGTCTTCAACAAGTTAAAAACTTTTATCTGAGATCCGAGAAGCTTCCCACAGCCATTCCAACTGGCGAATATCTGTTGATGATTGACTGGGTGATTAACAAGAAGCCACAAGCTGCCACAAATGTGTACTTTACCTTCGTGGAGAATCTAAGAGATAGTTAAAAATTTGATAACATTTTGAACATTAAAAAAGTTTCACCTGAAATAATAAAACTCAGATATTTTAGCAAATCGGGACGGTCTAATATATATTGTTCGATTCCATCAGACATTTGCACGAAAAATTGATTTCATCTCTGGCATACAAATGCGATTATTAAATCTTTGTTTCTGAGACCACCAAGAGAATTTCCGCAGCCAGTGAAATATCGCAATAGTAATTTAAAACAAACAATACAAAAATAATTACCAATTAAGCCTGTTTTAAATTCACATTCCGTATTGCAAAACAGAAAAACAGCCTTGTAGGTGGCATCTACAAAAATTGGACAACATGAATGGGCATTTAAAACGTTGAGGGTTTTGCAATAACTAAAGTTTATTTGGGTTTTAGTTGTGTTGTTAATTGCATTCGAAAACATTAAGGTATCAAAATTGTTAGAGAGCTTAAGATTGAGAGTAAGTTATGAATTTCACAATATAAATTGTAACTGATAATGATCAACGACTAGCTATACTACGATCGTCTTTACATACATAAATTATCTTTTATACATACATACGACAGATAATATACGTTTTTAAAATTAGTAGTCTATATGTGTCGTTTTGAGATATAAATATAACAGATATAACAGGGAATAGATTCAATTAATCTTTAAAATATGCTCCTCTTTCATGTGCGCCTGGTACTGCAGGATATGGCTGCTTTTGAAGCGCACGACTTCTCGTAGTTTGCGACCAATCTCTTGGATGGCCTCCGCATCTTTGTCGTCCTTCGTCCAGATGGAGATCTTATCGATCTTCTTGCGAATCCTAACGAGAGCTCCACAGATGTGATCGTAGTTTTCGCAGACCTCGCCAATTAAGCACAGGAGAACATCAAGCCAAATGATGTCCAGATCCGTTTTATGACCCTTTTGAATGAAGACCGCCCAGCGACCGCCTTGCCTATTCGCCGGGTCCTCCCACATGGGCGGTATATTCTTCTTAAAAAGCATATAATCACAGCCCTTTTTGAGCTTCGAGGGCGGGTCGATGCGGAAATAAAGGTTCCAAAAGTCCTCGACGGTGCCGAAGGTGTCGATCTTCCTTAACATATCCTCCCACGTGGTTAAGGGATCGTACTCCACAAGCCAAAGCGTCCATTCATTTTGAAGTTTGTGTTTTTTCGGGGAGTCCCCTTTCTTCGTTTCCGACATGGTCTTTTTATTAAGGTTTTGTTTCTAAAACTCTGTTGTTCTGCGTTTGATAACGATATGACGTCAGTACTGAAACGTTCACTTCTATCACGTTGAGAATTATCGCGCTTTATTTAGAATTTAGTAACTAATTGTTTACATTCTGAATGTGGGCAAGCGAAGTGTGGCCGAAGCAAGATCAGTAAAATATTCCCAATTCTCTTGTTTCGCTTAAAGGCACATTTAATTCGATCTATTTCAAATTTTAAGAATTTGTTTTTTTAGGTGACAAAAAATTAAAAACAAAAAGACAAAAAACGCAAATTATTGAAACTTATTCATAAATAACTTTATAAATTGTAACTTTTTACTTAAAATACTTATTTTATATAGATGTTTTTTAATAAACAATTTGTTTGTTTGAATTCACCCCTTTGAATCCAATGTAGACCGTTATTTGGTCAGAAAAAAGACTTAATATTAGGGATATTCCCGCTATATCGGGTGTGTGCATTCGCTTTGTGAAAAGGGTGTCTCTGCTATTTCGATAACCCATTTTTGAAAACGCGTTAGTTTTTTTTTAGCCAAACCACCTGGCAACGCTTAACCACTTTTGCCGCCAAAAATAAGTTGCTAGTTTTTATTTACAAAAACTGCACGCTTAAAAAGTAAAGACAACGAATGGACGTGGAATTAAAGCAGCAGTTCGACGAGATGGGCGTGGAGCCGGCGGACTCTGTGCTGGAAAGGTGCGTGGAGTTGGCCATTTCGTACAACATCCACGACGCCACCGAGTTCGTGGAGCAGTGGATGGCCTTCAGTCTGTCGCACCTCCATGGCGAGGATCCTGCGCTGGAGAATCTGGGCGACTTCGAGCGCAAGGTGCTACAGCTGCGCAAGGACAAGATGGGCTCCAAGGCATCCGCGGTAAAGTCCAAGCCCTATGCTCCCTCATCCATCCAGGACACAAGCTCGTTGGCCAGCTATGGAGTGATGGAAGACGATCCCATGATTGACGACTATGTCGGGGAATCAACGATGGACATCTCCTCCGCCCTGCACACACCCAAGGCCAAGAAGGATTCGGTGCGGAACTCCAACCTCAAGGGTGGCGTGCTCTTCAGCCCGGCCAGCTACACGCCCCAATCCGCCAAAAAGAATCCAGCGGCGGGAACACCAACCACATCGGTGGCTGGCAAGCCAGGCGACGTCGTAGACTCCTTTGGGCACCCGAAACTCCTGGCTGGCACCAGCTGGCAGACGCAAATCGAGCACACGGTGCCTGTGACCCAAAAATTGCTTCACAAGAACGTTCCGCTGACAATTGCCAATCTGGGCTACATGAACGACCTGCTAGGCGACCGATGTGACGACCTGCACGACCGCGTCGAGGATACTGGACGGGCGCTGGTGGAGAAGAAGATGGGAGAAGCAGCCGCCGCCGAGTGCAGTTGGTATCCGCAGGACAAGCAAGCTCTACAGGCGGCAGGTGGTCTCCACGCTGTGGGAATGATTCACTCGGAGGACGATGGCCCACTGGATGCCCACTCCGCCTTTTTGATTGTCATCGATGACGACACAGATGAGGTTAAGGACACATCCCTGACGCTCAACTTTTCCAGGATCAAGTCGGCCAGCATCTTCCCCGGTCAAGTGGTGCTCGCCAAGGGCTTCATACCCAAGGGCAAGACTTTCGTGGTGGAGGAGATTCACACGGAGCGCAAACTGACTCCAGTCACTCCTCTTAAGGTCGACCGAGAGCTCCAGTTTGTGGTGGCCGCCGGACCCTTCACAGACAGCACGGATCTGTTTTACGAGCCGCTGCACGACCTGCTTAAGTACATCAAGGAGCACAGGCCCGATGTGCTGGTGCTCACGGGTCCCTTCCTCGATGGCGATCACAAGATGGTCTGCGAATTGGCCGAGACCTTTGATTCCTTTTTCGAGAAGATGATCGGTGGAATAATGGAAGCGGTTGAGAGCCACACTGCAGTGCTGGTGGTCAGCAGTCAGAAGGACGCCATGTCGCACTCTGTTTATCCCACACCGCCGCCAACTCTCCGCAGAACGTATCCCAATCTACACATGCTGCCCGATCCCTCGTTGGTTGATCTAGATGGTATCACCCTGGGCGTCACCTCCACCGACGTGGTGGATCATTTGCTTAGCCACGAGTTCGCTGCAAATGCTGGCGAGCGGATGCACAGGGCCATCAACCACTTATTCCACCAGGGCTCCTTTTATCCCCTGTATCCGCCGGCGGACGAGGACATGGCCTACGATTCGCAGCTGGCACTCAAGTACGCCCAGCTCAAGCAACTGCCAAATGTACTCATCCTGCCCGGCGATCAGCGGCACTTCATCCGCCTGGTCAACGATTGCCTGGTGATCAATCCTGGTCGCCTGTCGGACAAGAAGGGCGGCACTTTCGCCCGGTTCCTGGTGGCTCCCTCTGCTCCAGGTAAGGCGGCCAACATGTTTAACAGTGTGGCGTGCCAAGTAAAACGTATCTAAATAACACATACCAAAATAGATCAACAGCCAAGTGTCCACTTACTAGACCTGAATAATCAATGGCTTTGTAGGTTTAGTGCTAGCATTATGTTTTCAGTATCATTAAGAAGGGTAATAACAAGTACAATTTAAATTATTACAAACAATAACTAATGTTATTTTTAATATTATTACATTTTTACGCCCGCTACTTCTACATACAAATATATTTTTACAACTAAACTATTAAGAACTTTAGGTTTGAAGTTCACATTGTTTTTAAAGAATGTGTAGATACATACCCTGCCGATATATATCAGATTTCAATTGTAGATCTTTTTGATTTTTCTACCGGAAGCAAGCATATTTACAAGTTGATCTACTAATATTATATTTTCGCTGTAATTTCGTTAAGTTTTGATGTCGGAAAGGGCTGACAAAATGAAGGTGCCGCAGCCTGCAATTGGAGAACAACCAACTCCCCCTACAGACAAATCTCCGATAGAGAAACCAAACTCCACAACGCTGTTAATGGAAGGGGATCCAGTGGAGCCGAATCGCTGTTGTTGGATCTGCTTGGCCACGGATGAGGAAGAACGTCTGCCTTGGGTAAATCCGTGTTCATGTCCAGGAACCACCAAGTGGGTGCATCAGAGTTGTCTTCTCCACTGGATCGACGAGAAGAAGCACGAGGGGACCGGAGAACAAGACGTTTCCTGTCCACAGTGCCAGACGAAGTACGTCGTATACCCGAATTTGAAAAAGTTCCCAGCTGTGTTGGAAATGATCGACCATTTCATCTCCTGCTTCCTGAGTCCTTGCCTGGCGGCGATCTTAATGGCTGTCTCTGTCTATTGGACAGCCATTACATACGGAGCGTTGACATTTTTGCAGATTGCTGGCCGGGACCGCGGCATGTCTATATTTCAGTCGGGCGATCCTTCAATTATCATAATCCTGGTCGCACTTCCATTAATCCCACTTGGACTGGTACTTCTTCGCTTGATTCCTTGGGAGGATGCCCTGTTGCGCTTGTTTCGAAACTGTGCATCGGTGGTGCGAAAACTTCCCTTTATGAAGCACAGCCGCGAATTTGAGTACCAGAACGATTCAATTTTTCTACCTCTGCCGGAACCCATTTCGAAAGAACGCGTATTCTGCGGAGCCGTCCTTCTGCCCACCATATCATACCTTGTTGGAAATCTTATCTTTCGTTCTGTGGACAACGCGGTGAAACGTACACTGCTTGGATGTCTTACATTTGTTACGGTTAAAGGAATCTTAAAAATGTATCTGAAGCACGAGCAATATGTACGCTGCACCAAGCGTCACGTTCTAAATTACACAGAGAACGCAGCAGGACAGGATCAACAAGAGGGTTAAGGAAGATCGGTTTTTGCCTCCCTCCAACCCTCGATAATATCAAGTTCTAGAAAAGATTACACAAGTAATTAAGCTAAATCAATTGTAAGGTATATAATTACCAACGATCAAAAGTATAACTAGTCCTGGCTCTTAAATTTACACTAGATACAACAATTTAGAATTGACTGATTACTATCTTTTCACCAAAAACTAATGTATCTTCTGCGCCGTTCATAAATAATCGTTAAAGCATTTATTAATTTATGTATAATAGTTTACAGCTAACAGTAGGAAATGGTGTCTAAATGTAATGTACTCGCTAGGATCTCTATGTACGATTGATCGGGGCCCCCCAAATACTGAAGTCAACTCTGTATCGAGGGAGCGATCGCCGAGAACTAAAACTCCAATGTATATTTTAACTATACAAAAAATACTGTATGCCGTGTGTATGTGTCCAATGAACTTGGCTGCAACTCAGATGCGTTTAAGTAACTGCGTGCCACCTTAAGTAATCCTCGCCTGCCGTCTCGCTTCGTTCGCCTTCAGTGCCGGGTTCCTGGAGCTGCCTCGTCCAACAACTCGTTCAGTTGTTGGGCTCCTGCTTGTATTGTTATTGTCGGTTGTTGACACCCTCAGGGTTGTGGCTGCTGACCATGCTGTGCTCCATATTCTTGACGATCACGTAGTTGGTGATGTGGTTAATGGCCTCGTCCTGCAGCCGCTCCGGCCAGCGCTTCATGTACGACTTAATAAAGTCGCCGAACGTGTCCACCTTATCCGGAGTGCTCTTGTGGGTGTCCACGATGTTCTTCACAATGTCCACGAACTTGTCGTAGTCCTCGTGCGACTTTTTGATCTTCTGGTAGTTGGCCACGCCCCCGTTGGTGTTGCCCCCACCGCCTCCACTTGCTCCGCTTCCTCCGGCTGCCGCATTCATTTGCTGATCCATGTTGTTGTCCGCCAGGCGAGCCGAGGCAGCGGCAGCCACTGCCGCCACGGCCGCCGAAGAGGCCATGAAATTGTCCACGCTGCCTGCATTGGGAGGCGGCTGGGAGTGGTCCATAAAGTGACGGTGCATGCCGTACTCGGTCCTGCAATTACAATTATTATTAAAAGATTGATAAGAATTAGTTTTGATCGATTAGCGCTCACTTATAGAACCCCTCCGTGTTGTTGCTATTAAACTCTTGCTGAGACATTGGATTTTTCCAAACTGGTGACTCGGATGTAGATGGTAAACTGCTAGTATTGGATGCACTCGTCATGCGTTTGTCTCTGCAGATTGATAGAGATAATAGTTAGTTTGGTTCAAGGTAAAGTACCAATTGTTTTGATGGTGATTAAGAGAAATTAGTCAGAAATTACTAATAAAGTTTCTCTTGTAACCCATATTATATCTTATATAGTTTGAAACCCACTTGTAACCGGTGTGCGCGGCCAGACTCTTGAATACATCATCCACTTGACTGTAGAACTTCCAGGTGCTTATTATGCCCGTGGTCTCGAAGGTCTTCTGCTCCTGTCGGTAGCGCTGCGTGAGATTGTTGACTTTGAAGTGAACCTCTAGTGCGGTTACAGGGACGCCCAGCGAGGTTAGCTGCTTGGCCATTGCCACATAGAGATGGCCATTGCGTTTGATGGTGCGCAGCTCATAGGCGCAGACTTTCCATAGTTTGATCAGCTCTAGAACACCACTATCCTCCCATTGTCGGCGCTTTTTGTTGAATTTTTCATACTGTCGGGGTGGTAAGATAAATGGGTCATAATGTCTTGATAAGTTGGCTAATTGCACAGAGAACTTACAGGCATTTCACATGGGTCTTACTGCCGACAACTGGGATTGCCCGACAAACTTCGTCTGCCAGCTGAAGCAGGACATGAAGCGGTTTCTCTAGTAGACAGGCATTTTGTACACGGATCCACTCCTGAAATAATAATATAAATAAAAATACTTTAATATTTTTAGTATTAACTGTTTTTGGAATCTCTGTATATTGTTTAATTGCACTAGTATCATTATTTATTAGCTAGCAATAATCGTTCCAAACAACTTTGAAAGTTATTTAAGTTCCTTAGCTGTAAATAAACAACACAACATATGGTTTGTATGAACCCTGTTTAATGACAATTTAATACCAATGAAATTGTAATTAATATTTTAAAGCTGTCAGAGGTTCAAGACACCTAAAACTCAACCTAAGCCGCCCCCAAACGGGGATTATGACATGAATGGCCCCTTTTATACCGATGCCATTATAATTGTAGATTTCACTGGGTAGTCGTGGAGTTAAAGGGTATATTGTGCTTGTGAAAAAGTAGGCAACAAACAAAGGAGATTTATAGATTGTATTATAAAGGATTAAAATGGATATTTTGTTTAAAAGTAAGCAACAAAAAATGGAAAATAATTCTGACCTTAAAAATTATATGTTATTTGTATTATTCAAGATTGTAATTGATAATATGTTATCTCTATATTATTTGTTAAGATAAGACCACTTGCCAGTTAATTACGATATGTCCTTTAAGGACTTATATTTGTTGTGTTCTGCCCACTTTCAGGATAGTTACCATATAAGGTTTATTTCAACAGAACCCAGTCGTAATCCCTTGGGCATGCAACACATTTTCTAACACTAGAGGGTATCTCACAATCGCTACACTCGGCTGTATCTTTTATTCTGGCTTTCAATTATCATTAAGCCGGCACACACACACACCGAAAGAGCTCAGCCTCTCCAGCAAGTCGCACACACATGTGCAAATGTAATGCGAACCGAACGGTAAAACGGTAAACAAATATTAATTGTGCGAGCGAAACAAGTTGCAAATTGCATTCCGCAAGAAGAAGATGGACTGCGAAGTGGATGCGGCGACGGCTGGAATCGAAGTGAAGCGGTAATTCAAGTATACAAGGGAGTTGAGATGTTCAGATACGGATGAAGATGCTCCGCCGACGTCGACTGCGACGTCACTTGCTTGATGGGGCCGGAAGAGGGGGCGGGGGAGCCTATGTAATTTGCGGGGGGAGATGTTACTTTTCTCGAATACACAAACGCACATACTTTTTCCCTTTCTGAGATACACACACACACACACTCACGTCACATCCACATCCGATTTTCTTGCGTTGATTGCGTTCTATTGTTATGCTCTTGTTCTCCATGCACCGCAAAGAACAACAACAAACGTCGAACAGCGGCGGCACAAAACTTAATAATAAGTCAAATAATTAAATTTTAATTATCTTCAAGAGGGAAACACACGAAAATCGTAGTTTTGTAGCTCCTACGCTGCGCAGCTCTCGCCATTCGACTCTATAATGATGTTCTCCGGAGAGCAACAAGGTGTGAGCAGTGCAGCTAGTGTGTCATGGCTGGCAGTGCTGACAGGTTAGAGAAAAAAGGAAATAAATTTGTATTTTCAAAATGTGTTTCCTCATTTAAAGAAAATGGATTAATTAACATAAAATAAATATCAATTTTCTCGTGTTTTTCTGTAATGCTTTATCAGCATTTGACCATGGCTCTTTTGTTATGCATATGCATAATGATCTGTAAATAATTTAATGAGACATCGAATTAAAGTGTTTGTATGTATATGGATCATTAAAGAGGCAGTGAATCGAAATGGCGAAACTTGAGGATTTAAACTGTTTTAAACAAGGGCTTAGACTTACCTACATAGTATATTTAAGAACATTTCCAGCTAAAACCGTTTAAATAATACAGATCTGTCCAGAAAAAGGACAGATTGTCAGCACTGATGGTGTGGAGTTGCCAGATGGTGGCGGTGAAAATACGTTGGAGCTTCAAAGGGCGCGAAATGGGAAATTTTTATTTTCAGCTTTTTTGGGGAGAATAGAACCCCGAGTCATCTGCCATTTTCTTGCCCGCCAATCTCTCGACTCGTTAGGGCTCCACAAAGAAAACGCGTTTCATCGCTCATCATCATCATTTTCGGCTCCAACTCCCTTCCACACAAACGCTTTTGTTGGAACATAATGCACACACAGATACACGCACACAGTCGCGCCAACACGTATTTGCCGGTCATCATCATCATCATTAGGTTGTGCGATGGAGCAACAACAACAACGATAGCGGCTCCCAAATGCGAACGTCATTAGCGGGCTAAATAACAAAAAATGATAATGTGGCTGCCACACAGTCATCAGTTGCTTGGCTTTGGTTCGGGGTAAGGTAATCATCATTAAATTGCACATCGTCCCGTTGGAACCGGGGGGCGGAGAGGGGGCGTGGCAAGGCGGAAGAAAAAGAAATTGGGGGAAGCGAAAATCCAATAACAAGGTCACCAGATATTTGAACGTTTATTTTTATAGCATTTGGGGATTTGGCTAAAAATATTTATAGCATACTTTTTTTTTGTTAGTCATTTAATTTTGAAATATGTAATCCTACAACTTTTGATTAGAATGATTTATTTATTTTATTTTAGTTTGAGTTTTAGAGTGAGCCAAAAATTCATGATGTTCTGACTATAATAATGTTTTGAATTCCTATTTTCCATTGACACCCTAAGTGAGTTTTGAAACTGTATAGAATTTTAACCAAATGTAAATAAATTTGTTCCTTTTTGGCTTAAACATTACTCAGCACTTGTCGTTTAGAAATAAAAAATGAATTTGTCATCATCATCAACAAGAACTCGACATTTATGCGGCTCCAACATACCTACATACCATCTCATCTTTCTTTTATACAGAGGGGGACAGCTTTTTAATAACTACCAGAAAATCACAAAATTTAAATTTGGTTTCAAAATTTAATATAAATATTTTTCTATTATTTATTTTTTTAGATGTTATAATAATTGACTTACTAAATAATTAAATAATTTAGTAATTATAATAATTCATAAATGTTTATTAATTTTATAAAATTAGGTAAATGCACTTGAATATTTTGGTTTGAATTTATGGAAACTTTGTTACTATTGCCTTAAGCGCAGCTGTAGACATTACTATTTGTTCTGACATACAGTTTACCTACATTTGCCGGTCATCATCATTAGGTTGTTAGGCGAAGACAGCATCAGCTCCCAAATGCGAACGTCATTAGTGCCGGGAAAAGCAACAAAGACCCCGCTCGTGGTACCCATAATGCTTCAGTAATCATCATTAAAGTGCACATGGCCCCAAGGTGAGGCGTTCGGTTCCGAGAAGGAGGGTGGCTG